CTCCAACAGAGACAACGCCTCCAACACGACCCCAAACCGCCGCAGCATTGCGACACGCTGGAAACCTGCGCCCAGGCGGAGGGGCTCCTCCCTGTCCCATCGTCAGAGTTCGAATCTGTACTGCAAACCTATCTGACCAAGATAGAGGAGTCCGGAGTAGATGGATCCAAAACATCGGAGCTCAGAAAGATCGCCTTGGAGTTCTTCAAGGACGGGGTGTTTGTGCACAACCAGAGGAGCTTCCAGGACTTTGTGGATGATCTGGCGGATATTTTGGAAGACATGGTGGAGGATGGTGATGCAGAAGATAGTGACCTGGAGGATGAAATGGAAGGGTTTGAAAAGGAAGTCCTGAAAATGTTTTCACTTCCAGGAGGCAGGGAGAAGGAGAAGAGGATTAAAGGTGAATGGAGGAAGGAGAACAGACAAGAACGTGGCTGATTATGATTTGATAGGCTGGAGGACTCACTTTATTTAGGACCACAATTACTTCAGTGTGTTTATCAGGCAGTCGACCAACCGTTCTTTGTGCCACTACCATCTTTAAAATTTTACTCTTGCTCATATATTCACTGTATCGCACAGGCTGGCCAAACTTACAAGTTTTAACGATTTTAACATCTACAGACTGATATTTTTGCCTATTCTGCTTTGCAAATAGCTCAAGACACACCTGTTTGGATGGAGAGCATCTGTTAACATTAATTTCCAATTCCCAAACAAGATCCTCAATTGGATTTAAACGTGTAGTTTTTAAGATGCTTTGATCTAAATCATTTCTTGTAGGTCCTGCTGTAGGTCTCGAGGGTCATTCTGCTGGAAGGTGAACCTCCATCTGCTGCCTCTAAATGGGTTTTCTTCCAGAATTGCATTGCATCTCTTTCCCCATCAGTTCAGAGTTTTCTTTCCCTGCTGAATCAGGCAGTCCAACACCATGATACTGCCACTACCAATTGTGTTTTCGGTCTTTCTCTTATTACAGGATTTTGCATGTACGTCAAAAAGTTATGTTTTGGTTTCATCTTAGCAGGGCTCCACATCTTTGCTGTGTCCTCTACGTGGCTTTTTGTAATCTGCACACTGAACTTAAGGTTTACTTTCGAACATTGCTCTCTTCATTCATAACGTCTTTAAAATCAAAAGTTGGGTCCAGGTTTTTGTATCGAGATACTTCAGATTATGTAAACATCCACTGGTGTTCAAATATCTTGTTTAGTAATGTTGAAACTTAAACCTGCTGGAGCAGTTTGGATGTTTTGAACTTAGTTTCTAGAATTTAATATTTTATTATTATTTAAACACTTCCTGCTCATACAGCACTGTGCACTGTTAATGTTTACTAAAGCTCCACTTATTGGAGATACAGGTTGTCATATTTATTCATCACTGTTTTGTGGGTTGCTAAACCATTGCTATTAAAGCTGGTTTCAACATGGGTTACTAAAGAAAGTTGGATAATAATTTATATTTGAGAATTTGGCATTGATTTGTATCGTTTGTAAATGTTGCATCCAACATGTTTTGCCTAGAAAAGTATTTAATTGTGTTCTTACAACAGGCATTGTGTGAAAAACAAATGTTGGGCACTTAAGGTACGGGCATGTTCAGTAAGTTTGCTTGTTTTTATGTCTTTAATTTAAATAGGTTGTGTTACTTTAAAATTTGTGTTAATATCTGTATGTTTGCACACTTTCTCATTGTGGTTCTTTTGTCGTGGTGAATTTGAGTTCGGATGTTTCTTGTTGCTTCTGTAACCTCAAAGAAAATAAACATTTTTTTTTTTTGTGAACTTTGGGTTTTAACTCGTCAGTTAAAATAATTTCTCAACGGAACAATAAATGCAACTATCCAAAAAATGCGTTTGAAATTTTAGGTCCCAAAAAGTGAAGACTGTGCTGATTAGTTTTGATAATTGTGGGGGGAAGTCTAAAAATCCTGATGATTAATTTTCTGCCTTGTGAGATCTGTTAAAATCAACCTTGCTTTCATAAAAGTTGCCATTTAATGTTCCTCTATAAGAGTGATATGCAAATCCGCTCCCTGTGTGATCCATAATCATAAGGTTTGAACTTCCCCAAAATATTCATTTAAATTGATCAATTGTGACGTTTTAGTGAATAAACCTTTCCTTATCTTTTTGACCCTTCAAAAACTCCTGACTCAACTTTCTTGCTATACACAGAAAACTGCATTCTTGTTCTCCTCACATTAACTTTGGCCAAGGTGAGATCTTAATCTTAAACTCAGAGGAGCCAGGGATTTTTCTACTGCTGCTGCTCAATTGTGGAATAATCTACACCTGAACACTAGAGAGACTACTTGACCACCTGCTTTTTAGTTAGTGAGATGTAGTTTGACCTTGTTTGAACTGATTGTATTTTGTGTTTTTACAGTTTGCAGCACTTTGTTTCAGCTGCCACAGTTTTAAAGCGCTTCATAAGTAGAGTTGGCCTGGCAATCTGAATGGACCAGAGGATAGCGGTTTGGAGAAGGGATGACCTCTGTGTTTCTCCACAGACACATGAGTTAAAAAATGCTCAAATGATTTTCAGGTCAGATGGAGGAAACATTGAGAGTTCCTGCTGACCAGTCTGATGTTTCCCCCTCTTAAGATTTTTCTGCATTTACCAGTTACATTTCCACCACATAGGCTAGAGTGTCATCTATTTGTCTCGCCTTCTTTGCACACCTTCGTCCAGATCTTAGCCATCACCTAAAATAGTTTGCCGTAAACTGGAAGCTGAGCTTCAAATGGCTTCCTGCTGCTCTTCCATCGATTCCAGATTTGTAGAGTGTGTGGAAAAATGATAACTTGCCTGCCACATTTAAGATTACAGTAGAACATGTTTTACAAGTTTCAGTCATACCTGGTCCATATGTTGTGGATGTTTGATTAACCTTTCTGTCCAGGATGTTCGTTTTGTTCCTACTAGATTTTAACCAATGGATATTACGATGTGTGGGGAAAATACTCTGGTGGAATAAGAAACTGAGTAGATGAAAGAAACCAGACATGACAGCATGTTAAGTCAGGACCTGTTCAGCTTGTTGATCATTGCACTTGTTTGAGATGAGGAAACTGTTGCCTGTAGTAAATATCTAGCTTTCATTATGAAACAAAAAGAGATTAAATATTTCTGATGAAATGGATCCAGTACTGGGATAGTTGACTGTGATGGTTGACTGTGTTGCCTTGCAGCTTTTTGGCCTGTGGTTCAAATGTCAGCGGTGAACTTCTTGTGTTCTGCTCCAGTTACTTTGGTTTCCACTCACGTATTAACAACACATGTGTCAAGTCAATTATTAATTTCTCATTGTGTATGAATGAGCAGCCTTTTGTCTCCCTGATGGAAAATCCATCGGTCCAGGAAGTCGTTGCATCTCTGTCCTGGTGTAGAAATCTACAGTTTATTTGCAAAAGCAAATAATGCACACCCCTTGTAGTTTTTTAGTTACTTTTTCTATTTTATCAGATTCCAACCAGATACCAGTTGTGCTATTTTATGTTCAGGAGCAGCACAAAATAGTGTGTAATTGCATAGTAAAAGGAAGAAGATACCTGATTTTTCCCCATCTACAAATCTGATCAGATTTGTGTACATTTGTAATCTGCCTTTGAGTCAGTATAGAGCCACATTGCAGTACAAATAGTATATTTCTCTTTGCACATGGAGACAGATTTTTATCATTATTTTTTTGCAAAACAGCTCAGATTCTGACTCAAGTCTTTTGCAGCCTCCAGAAAGTCTTCCAGGATTGTGTGTATTCAGTCGTTCAACTGGCCAGCTTCCTTGTTCACTGCTGACGCCGTTCAAGGTGTGTTCAGGTTGATATATATTAATGTTAGTCAGCTTCTTTCATGTGGTTATTGTGGCCCTGACATGGCTTGCTGGAGATTGAAATGGCGAGTCGGTAGGTTTGCAGTTGTGTGATGGGTTGAACGCAGCAGCTCTTTGGGATGTTTAAAGTTTGAGATATTTTATATCCTTACCCTGCTTCAACCTTCTCCAAAACTTTCTTCCTGCTGCGTCCCTCGGTCTTCATGATGCTGCATATTCACTAATGTTCTCTTACCAACGTTTACAGTAAGTACATTTTAGCTTTTAGATGAAAAATACGGGAAAAGTTTAAGGGATATGAATACCTTTGCAAAGTACTGCAATTATTTATTTATTTTTTAAATAACTCTAAATTCAGCCCCAGCTGGAAAATATTAATAACAAAGCATCTCTCATGTTTGCCCAGTGGAAATATCTTGATGAACCATTTAGTTTCCTCTTTCCTCTTCCTCTACAGCAGCTAAGGGAACGTAACGAGGGCCGTACGCTGCTATTTTAGGTAAAAAGTGATATAGATGTGCATGTCTGCGTAACAGCCGTTCCATAGAGATGTGAAAGCGATGTTTGGGGATATGTGGATGGCAAAGCCAATGTGCTTGTTAGGACAAACTTGCTTCCCTAATATGCCAGTTGTGCACATCCTCTTTTCCAAGGTGAAACCCAAGTGCCTCGTTCTCAACAGTTTCTGGAGCCCAGACTACATGGTCATCGGTGATAAACTGCTTCTGGTTTTCTCTCTGCTGCATTCTGCTCACAGCTTTGTGGACATAAAAAAGAAACGTGTTTTGCTTTAACTGTGTGAATTCTCTTTAAAACTACCCGATGTGCTTGCACACATTTTTCGCTCATTTAACTTTTGTTGTTTCAATGCTTATTTACGGCCTGTTTATAGAATAAATATTGGTGTAGATTTCCAGTCATCCAAAAAAAAAAAAAAAAAACCCTAAATGTTTAAGAAGGAAACTAGAGTTCTCCTGTTGCTTAAATATGTCCTCCCTCCTATCCAAGCAGCTTTTTCAGTGCTGAACATGGGCTGAAAGAATCAGAATTATAAGTTGTGATCAGAATAATCATAGCAACAGGGACTTCAGGATGGTAAAGTCATTAATAGAGCCATTAAAAGGATTAGTCACTACACCTACGCACTTTTCAAACTCTGATTTTTGTGCCTGTAAATTTACTTGACTTCAGATGGACAAATTGTGTGACAACATCAGAAATTTAAAGGACTATAACATTTAAATTCACAATCAAAATGAGGATAGAGAGAAAAGAAGAGGCATGAACTTCAAGGCACCTTCGCTCTGTCACAATAAAACTGACGAAGGGACTCGTTACCAAGATCCGATGTGAAGCTGTAGCGCCGCCTCTCTGCAGAAGCCAAATTTGGACGTCAGCAGGTGCAGGGCTGCACACACTCCGATGCTGATGAAGAGAAATATCTTGTAGCTCTCGGATCTCTCTCGAGCCTCTCCTTAGCTGGCCTTTGAATGTCCTCGTTTGGACCGAGAACCGAACTGTCAACGGTGCAAAAGGAAATCTTGTAGGATAAGTAGGTTTTATCTACACCTTGGGTGTGTAAAAGGAAGAAAAGAAAAAAAGAAAGTTGCAGGAACTCTAAAGGAGATTTAGTAGAGAAAAAAAAAAAAGTAATGAATAAAAACTCACAATCAAATCTTAAACAAGTTGATCAGGTTTGATAAATCTGATTGGGCTGAATTTATCGGATTGGTTCATACTCTACTCAGAAGTCGCCCATTCTTATGCCATCATGTACTGAGCACAAGGACAAAATAGGAATTTAGGAAAATGTGATTTCATGATGGATGACAAAAACTTCTGCATCATAAGCCTCGCATTAGGAAATGGTTTAACAAGCTCTAAAACATCATCGGTGGGAAATAAAAAAGCAGACTAATGTCATCCTGAAGGCCTTCTACAAAAAGTCTCAATGTGAAATGTCTGCATAAGGTCAGATTTCCAATGGTTCATGTCACTACATGTAATTAATAATTACCAAAACCAGAGACTGGTTACACATTTTAGTTGTGCAATACAGGAATTGTGAAATGTCAATGGAAAAAGTCGAAAGGCAATGATTTAACTTCTTTACCAGGACAGCTTGGCTTTAAAAAGACTGAGAAGCTATGGTACAACACACCAAACACTCTCTTTGAGGAGGTGAGATTTTACCCGTTTTATGGAGGCAAACATTGTTTTTTTTGTTGGACTCAATGTACATTTGTATAATTTGCTAGTTTTCAAAATGTTTTACTATTATCCCTGAGAGCATTTCTCTTTGTATTTAAAGGATTCCCCTAAAAACAGATCCATCCGTCTGACATTCAGCCCGTAATGGAGACTGCCATCGGTGTGCTGGTGTCCCAGTTCAAGGCGTACGCTGGTAGAGATGGTTCCTCCGACACGCTGAGCAGGGACGAGTTTCAAAAACTGGTCAAGTCAGAGCTCTCCGGCTTCGTGAAGGTAGGAGAGGAGCAGTAACAAACCGAGGTTCTGCTGAGATGTCACGGTTTCGTGCAGCTGCTTTGTAAAGTCTGATGTGATCTGCTTAACTTCAAATGTTTCCCTAAAAGGCTGAGATTTTGTAATGGATCAAGAATAGCTAAAAGGTCGAGTCAGATGGCACATGTTTAAGATGCTGCCCCTGCCTCTCAGTAAGCTCAGAGTTGGACTAGACCTTTCCAAAACATACATCTTGTGTTTTCTGAGCCGTTCAGAGGTTAAGTTGTTCGCAAACTGAGGTCTGGATATTCTGCTTCAGGATTTTTTTTTCTTCTTTTTACTGGAGAGCAGAATGTATTGTTCTCTGATTTGCAACACGTAGTTTCAGGCCAGACATCGAGGAAAACGCAGCCTCCACAAAGTTTCCCTTTTGTCTCGTCAGACCACAGAATATTTTCTCAAAAGTGTTGAGGATCCTCAAGATAGTTTTCAGCAATTGTGAGAGAGGCCTTTGATAAGCCAGGAGCGGATATTGGTGGCTTTTACCTTGGGGCTTTTCCAGGAATTGTTGAGTCTCTTTCTTATTAATGTTGATGAACACTGACCTTAAATAAAGAAAACGATGTCTCAGTGCTTTAGATGCTGTTTGGGTTATTTAATGATGTTTGAAATGAGTTGTGGTAACTTTTGCCAGAAGGTTCACTCTTGTTCCATATTTCCTCCATTTGTTGGAAATGGATCTCAGTGTGATTTGTTTTTGAGATCTTTGTGCCTAATTCATTTTGTACAACAGCAAACAAGTGATTTGTTGACTCTGCAGATTGGATAATCGGATAATTCTGTGTTTGACAGAACAAAATGGATTTGAAGAAGGGAGCGATTACTTTTCAAAAAGGTAAAGTTGGTTCGGGTAAACAAAAATGTTTTGAAACAAGCAGAAGAATTCACGAAGGACCTTAAAAACTTATGGAGGACAGCTTTTCCAGGCGTCATTGCTTCTTGATACTTTTAGAGATTTTTCTTCTCTTTTTATTCATCCTTAGTACAAAAAAAAACATATTGATGAAAAATGTGTTTTCTCTTTCAACTAGTTAATTCTTTGCATTTTTGTTTGTGAGCTGACAAGATATTCAGATGTCAAATAAGGCATTGACACAATGTTTGTTCTCATGTTTTGAGTTTTCTGGTTTCTGGCAGCAGTGGGCTCTGGATAAAGTCGATCATAAGACTTCTTCTTCCCCTGCGGCTGCATCTTGTCGGTGTGTTTTGAACACTACGGTTACCGTCACATTTGAGAAATTATATCTTGGCTTCATTCTTCGAAACACATGTCCATGTCCATGTATGTTGAACATCCACTTTGCAGTCTAATAAAATGAAAACACATGAGAGGAAGATTGCGTGCATAACACTTATTTCATGGTGGGGAAGTCAAGCCTTAATGGGCGTCATCTGACTGCTGCGGTCGTCATCAATTACGTGAATCCCAGCCATGACATTCCATGCGGTGTTGCACGGTTTCAATGAAAGGAAACAAATATGCTTATGTATAAAAAACAAGGAATTTCAAACAGAAGGAACTGGCGCCGCTCTCCTGCAGGCACACGCGCTGTAAGACTTTCTGTTCCCTTCGCTTTGCATTCCTAACAAGAATGCCCACTGACAGAAAGTAGCTCTTCATGAGGCCTAACAGAGGATACAGGGCTGCCTTTTCCAAGTGTGGAAAATTCCATGAGTTTCCTCTGCGTGCAAGGCTGAGATCATCCGCAGCAGCCACACGGTGGTGACAGAGCCAGGGAATCCTGGGCCAAACCAACTCTGCTGATGCAGCATGTTTTAAGGCTTTTCTCATCCTGATTGCCTGTGCCACTGGCATTGCCTTACCTCTGACACTTTGTCCACTTGTGAGATTTCTTTTTCTTTACAAGGTCATCTGTTGCCTGTCAAGGTTGTGTTTTGTAGTGTCTCACACACGTGTTTTCCTGTTTTTCCTGCAGAATGCTGACGACCCTGCTGCCATTGACCAGCTCATGAGCTCATTGGACAAGAACAATGATGGAGAGCTAAGCTTCCTGGAGTTCTGGCAGCTGATTGGGTCTCTTGCGAGCAAGCGTGGGGGGTTCAGCCAATAGTGTGTCCTTAAATACTTTTTTTTTTGTTAAGTTTAATGTGTGCTACTGAACTTTCTGTGTGCCATGGAAGAAAAGGGAAATCCTCCAAAATGGAAATCACCTCAGCCAGTTTCCTCCGCTTAAGAGGCCAGTGAGTTTACTGACTGCACTAACAAAAGAAACCGTTTAAATTTACTCAGTAAAATTGGTTTTTAACATTTTGCAAAGCATTTTAGGGGTAAATTCTTATTGATATCTTGGTGTTGAAAATGCGTAAAGCTGCCAGCTAAAACCTTTTAAAAACATAGCTTAAATGTTAATAAAACTCTAAAGATTAAGATAATTGTGTTTGTGTGGTTTGTTCTCCCACGTTAAAGGAAACAAAACTAACAAAAAAATGTTTTGTGGTCAAGGTATAAAATGTCACTCAAATTGTGTCACCAAACTAAAACTGAATAAAAAGTTTTAGACTCAAAGCTAAACTCACCTTGCGAGTATGTTTGGCTTTTCATTTCAAAGCTAGATAACTACAAACTGCAAATTCTTGCTTCAGTACAAAAACATTGATGGCCACAATTTGCACTTCTTAACTATTGCAAAGTTTTTTATATATATATATATATATATATATATATATATATATATATATATATATATATATATATATATATATATCAAACATCCCATGTGAACATATCAGTCTTTCTTCTCTCTGCAGGAGATTTGACAAGTGAAAATATGTTTGAATGAAGCAACATCTTGTGTTAAATTTAAATCAAAATGTTTGGCTGGGATTTGTTGCAAAAACACACAGGCTACTTCTTAGCCAGTACACAGAGATTGAAATGATTTTGAGATCTTATTTGAGTTATATGATTTAGTTCAATGTAAAAGGGACACTTTACAGTTTTCTATGTAGAAGTCTGGACTGCATTGACCAAATATGGTCCAAACTCTTACATGCAGACATATTACAACTCAACTGGGTCATTGACACTTTCAGATACAACTTACTTGAATTTGAACCTGTCTGTGTTTCATTTGTGAAAACACTTAACAGCCTACAGATTGAGGCCCAAGTGAGAAACATGAAACGGTCAAGTCTTCCCTCTCTGTCTGCGTAGTTGACAGAAGGAGGGGCAAGGGCCGGCTACTGAGACAGTTTCAGTTGTACCAGAACCAGCCTTTGCCATTGCCCAACACACTCACTCACTCCCAGCTACATGTGCTCACAAGCCAGTCATTAAAGCTACTGGGTGGGAAAGCATTGTCTGAAAAAGCTCTGTGTGAGCGCTCTTGGCTAGGCTGATTCCTGGAAAACATCACCTCCCTCTCTGCCTATCCGGGACTGAGAGGTGTGGTGGTGACGGGATGAGACACGGACTTCATGTTTGAAAACTAGAAAAAACAATTCAATTAAATAAGTAATGGGGGGGGGGACAAAAACAAAAAAAAACCGCTTGTTTATGTAGGCCGGTTTATTCCGAGTTTCAGGGTGTGGCCCGAACATCTGGAACAACTCAAACATGCGCGCGCACTTGGTTTTTACATGTAAATAGATATGCAATGATAAAAAATTACATAAGTTTCTTTGGACTTATGAGGCAGAGAATATTCCGTGAGTTATACTAGTTTTTTTCTTCTTTTTTTTTTCTTTTTACGAAAGTGTTGCTTGAAACAAGAGTTCAAGCTTCGCCTCTTTCCACATTCCTCCTCTCTCAGGCACACGCCCTGTGACAACGAAAAAAAAAAAAAAAAAAAAGTTGGCTGGAGTGGAGGTTAAATCACGGAAAAGATATGCGCTGTTGTTTAATCTGGTGAGGAGGATCTGGAAGAAGGAAAGAGAGCAGCTGCTGAGAGTTTCTGTTCTCCTCTTGTTTCCTGCACTTTAGGTGAGTCCTGCTTTCTTTTGGAGCTTTCATGCCGCGCAAAGCTTTTTCTAATTAAAGCAGCTTTAAGATTCCAGGCTGCTTTTTTTTTTTTCCTCTCTCTCTCTTTCTTAAAAACTCAAGACCATCTTCCTTGGGAGTGTCTGTTGTGGTGACCGCCAGGGTTTGTTTTCCCCTCGTTAGTAATTCAACTCCAATCCCTTTTACACTTCCACAGAAACCGGACTCTCCACTCACCCTTTTTTATTTATTTATTTGCTGCCTGTGTGTGTCACTTCTTCCTCCAATCGCTTGACAAATTGTCAAGATTAGTTTGAGGCTAAATTTAAACGAGAGACACCGTGCACCGTCAACCGCTAAGCGCGGCAGCTTTATCAGAACCGTGCTTTTTTTCCAGTTCCTAAAACGCGCATATGGTCTTCAGTCTAGATCTGTGTAGTCTCTTATCAGCCTGAATTATTTAGTTTTTGATAAGATCCCGGTACTGAAACTCGTATAGCCCGGGTCTGGTGTAGTTAATGACGCGGAGGAGGCCAGTGACCTGACTGCTGACAGGGACGAGGTGGGGCGGTCACACCTTAATGAAACAAACCTGAACTGGGTGGAGCGGATCAGTCACTGGGATTGATAATCCCCCCC